GTGATTCCTGTACTTACAGACTATTGTGGTGACATTAATATAAACAATTCTGTTCCTGTACTTACAGACCATTGTGATGACCTATGTGATTTAGTTATGGTTATGTTAGCTTTGTACTGGAACGATCATGATTTCCAAGTGATTTAATGTAAAATTTTTGTTCCTACTTACTGATTATTGTGATGACCTAAGTAATTTGGTTATGGCTATGTTAGTTCATATTGGAATGATCGTGATTTTAAGTTACTAGATATTGTGGTGACAAGTGTGATTTATATAGAGTTAGTTTTGTATTGGAATGATCTTATTTTTGCAGTGATTTAATAAAAACTCTGTTCTTGTATTTACAGACTATTGTTGCGACATATGTGATTTAGTTAGTTATACTAGTTATGTATTGGAATGATCGTGATTTCCAAGTGATTTACTGTAAAAAATTCTTTTCCTGTACTTACAGACTATTGTGGTGACAAGTGCGATTAGGTAGAGTTATGTTAGTTTTGAATTGGAATCCTGTCCCTATACTTACAGATTATTGTGATGACATATGCGATGCCAGAACTTCGTATCAGGTGCTTTACAAGTTAAAATTTGCATCTATCAATTCTTACAATAATTGAAACTTCATGAATCGCAGGTTTTAAAAGGTTTATGATTGTTGCAATTTGTTGTATGTTGGTCGATGAACATAAAATTAGCTCAGTTAAAAGTATTCATGGAAACTAATTGGTGTAGTCAAATTAATTGTAAAAATTAATATTTTTATTATGTCAAATATCAGATCTTCATGATTAACATTGAGCACACTCAATGTTACAGTATAATGTCCTTGGTCACATTACACTAGTCATGCTAAATGTGGAACAGCTAATTGGCAAGGATGGAAGGGCGATGTTTAAAATATTACAAAAATTAAGAAGCATTATATACATAAATTGTATATAATGACATGCCACCTAAACACTAATAAACCAGGAACTAACAAGCTTGCAAATTTTTTTTATTTATTTTTTTTTTCTGATCATATATCTTATACGTATGTTCCCTTTTGCACTAGATCTGTAAGGTCTTGTAAGTTTATTTAAACCTGTAAGTATATAGCGTTTAACTTATTAATGCTAAACTAGATTCTAATTAAATGCCAAGAAATTTTACTTTGTTACAATTATGTTTTGTGGATGCCCATTCTTATCTAGTTTTTGGCCAGACTTTCTTCAAGAGTTTTTTTTGGTTATCCTCGCTTCTTTTTTACAGCAGCAATGGACATATTCTCTTTTTCACATCCGATTCTTCTTTTTTTTGGTCGCCCAACAGCCTTGCTCTTTATTGGGTTGTTGATTATTGGATGCTCTGAATCAAAAATACTATACAAAAATTCCAAGTATCTCTCAAGATATGACATAAAATCTGCACACTTATCAGGATCTGTTGCAATCTTATTTGCTATTTCTTCTGAAAGTCGATGAATACGCATATATTAGAGCTAAGAAGCACATTTACTAGATGATTCATATGATGCTAGGTGTCTGAGGCCTGTGATTGTAAATAGCTATAGAAATTAATGTAATCTTTTGCAAGCTCTAGCTTAGACAGATCTTTTTGCCAACGCTTTAGAAAGTGAAATAGATCAAGTTGTACAAGAGAAAGGTGAACTGCTACTGCAAGAGAATAGTAGCAAATAATTCTAGCAAATTCAAGATTATGGTAGCTACAAGTAAGTATACAGACATTATAGGACACCCAATGCAATATATCAGACCTTTTATAGCGTGATAATTCAAAATGACACAATTCATTATTTTTCTGTTTTTACACATATGTATGCATCTTTAGCACTTCATTTAGCTGCAAATTTTTTCCATGCATATCATGTTAGACATTTAGTGACTTGATTTTTGATAGGATTTTGAGATGTTGAACGAGAAAGATAAACAAGCTCTTTATATGCAGAAATATGCTCTGCCTCCTCATGAACTTCAAGTGCTTGCTCAAAAGCTGCTAGAAAATCTGTGATTGTGGTCTTACTATCAAGAAACCTTTTTAACAATTTATTCATCGATTCCTCTCTTTGTGTTGAGGTCATGTCTGCAAAAAAAAAATCTTTAAAATAAGCCAGGGCCTATCTCTTACGCTACTGGTTAAGAGCTTTTAAATATGATCTTGCTTCTGCATAATTTTCGTTAACCATAATACTACTCCAACGCTCCTCAAATTCACTTTAATTAATACAATGATCAAGATATTTAATGAAATCAGTAAGAAACCCATCATATTTAAATTCAATCTTAGAGGTCATATTAGACCTAACGTTTTTCAGCATATACCATATACAGAGACTATGCTTAGTGTTATATTTATCAGTTAAAGCAAAACGGATAGCATCAGCCATTGAGAGATCATTGTCTATGAGAATAGTTTGGGGTGCAGTACTAAAGATATGAATGAAAGCTTCGAAAAGCTACTCAAAACTTAAACAGGTTTCGTCACGAAGCAGAGCACCAGCAGCACAGTAAGAAAGACTATGATTTGTAACACCTGTGAATACACCAAATGGCATTAAAAAATAGTCTGTAAGTACAGGAAAAGAATTTTTTACAGTAAATTACTTAAAAATCATGTTCATTCCAATATGTAACTAGTATAACTAACTAAATCACATATGTTGCAACAATAGTCTGTAAGTACAAGAACAGAGTTTTTATTAAATCACTGCAAAAATAAGATCATTCTAATTCAAAACTAACTCTATATAAATCACACTTGTCACTACAATGTCTAGTAACTTAAAATCATGATTATTCCAATATGAACTAACATAGCCATAACCAAATTACTAGGTCGTTACAATAATCAGTAAGTAGAAACAAAAATTTTACATTAAATTACTTGGAAATTATGATCATTCTAGTACAAAGCTAACATAACCATAACTAAATCACATAGGTTGTCACAATGGTCTGTAAGTACAGGAACAGAATTGTTTACATTAATATTGCTACAATAGTCTGTAAGTACAAGAATCACTATAAAAAAAATCACAATCATTTCAATACAAAACTAACATAACTATCTAAATCACATGTTGTCTCAATAGTCTGTAAGTACAGAATTTTTTTACTGTAAATTATTTGGAAATCATGATCATTCCAATACAAAACTAATATACTTTAAATCACGTTTGTCAACACAATAGTCTGTAAGTCCAGTAATAGAATTTTTTACACTTGGTCATTCCAATACAAAACTAATATACTCTGTTTAAATCATATTTGTCACCACTAAAGTCTGTAAGTCCAGTAATAAAATTTTTTACAGTAAATCACTTAAAAATCATGATCATTCTAATATGAAATTAATATAACTCTATCTAAATCACATATGTCACTGCAATAGTCTGTAGGTACAAACAGAATTTTTTTATATTAAATCATAATCATTTCAATGCAAAACTAACATACTCTAAATCATGTTTGTTATTACAATAGTCTGTAAGTCCAGTGATAGAATTCTTTACATTAAATCACTTGGTCATTCAAATGCAAAACTAACATGCATTTTTTAAATCACGTTTGCTACCACTATAGTCTGTAAGTCCAGCAATAGAATTTTTTACAGTAAATCACTTGAAAATCACGATCATTTCAATATGAAATTAATATAACTCTATCTAAATCACATATATCACTGCAATAGTCTGTAGGTACAAACAGAATTTTTTTATATTAAATCACTTGGAAATCATGATCATTCTAATGCAAAACTAATATACTCTACCTAAATACTATAAAGATTTTATGCAAAAAGTCAATAAACATGGATTTTGTGTAGATAAAGTCGTCATTCGTCCAGGTACATCAAATCAAGTTGATGCTTTACAAATTTTGCAATCACCCATTGAAGAGATCACAGCAAACACATCGGTCAATTATGAAAGTGGAATATCAGATAATTCTTCAATTTTATCGCCTGGTGACAGTATTCAAAAAACTAAGATTCACGTTTAGAATTGCTTTAATAATTAACCTTTGACATTTTAACATTGTCATTTTTGAATGAGTCCGTGAAACAATATAATTAGTCATATATAATTTATTCAACTCAAGCTATTTTTAAGCCAAATATCGATGCCAAAATGAATCAACCTTAGCACGATTTATTTACCAGAAAGAGTTTTTAGATACACCAATGATCTTATTTCCTGTGATTTTGTCTTACATACTATTTATCTTGTACGCATAAGATAGATAAATATAATTTCTTGACTAGACCTTTGTTTATTTACGAACTTAACTTTTTTATTAGACTATTTCATAAATTTAGAAGTATAAATATGAATGAATATCAGTCATTACTGTATTATTTTATTTTAACTTCTTATTTTTCCTCAAATACGTATTCATGTATAATTCAATGTGCTTACTAGACTTTGTTGCGTATTGTATTATATATATGTTCTTTACATATAAAGATATTATATCATGTCCGTGAAGCTTTTTTTATTGAATAAAAAATTTTTTATCAAGTAATGAAAGCCATATATATATATATGTATCGATATATTCTCTTTTATTATTTTCAGGCGTAGAATTATCTACAATTTATATCACACCTGATAGTATGCCATCTACATACGTCATGTTTTCAAATTCTATTATTTATTTCTTTGTTCAATACGTATTTTACGCTCATGTAATTAGTTTTTATTTTTCTTTTTTAGCTCTTTCATTCAGGGAAAACTCGTCATACACAATCAACAAATAAAGTTTTCTATTCAGTCCAATACTTTATCTAAATCATGTTTGTCATCATAATAGTCTATAAGGAGTTTGCCAGGGTAACCCCCAAAAGTCTGAATCAGTTAATCTGCGCCACAGCCATATATTAATAAGAGTATTACGTATGTACGTATGTATGCATATTGCTTTGTTGTATTTAAGAAATTTTCACAGAGCTAAATGATTTAATAATTTTCTAAGAAATTATGCAGTGGCTATGGTGTGAATCACCTGATTCAGGCTTTTGGGGTCGCCTTGGCGAACTCATCTGGAAGTCTAGTAATAGGATTTTTTACATTAAATTACTTGATCATTCCAAAACAAACTAACATACTCTTTTTAAATCATGTTTGTTACCACTATAGTCTGTAAGTCTAGTAATAGAGTTTTTCACAGTAAATCACTTGAAAATCATGATCATTCCAATATGAAACTAATATAACTCTATCTAAATCACATATGTCGCCACAATAGTCTGTAAGTACAGAATTTTTTGCATTA